GGGGGGGGGGGGGGGACTCCCCATAGGATTTGTACTGTTTTTGATATATGAATGTCGTGTACGTGAGGTGACGAGTTCGTACACGGGCTAATTGTATAAAAACCCAATTTTCTACTAAGTAATAACCTGATTTCCTTCTTATTTGAGTTTTCATCACCATGTGTAGTATCCTGCTAGCTTAGAATAGCATGCCTACTTGCTTTAACTGTTTACTTGAACTACGTGCAGCATTTTAGTAAATTTACTTGTCTTTCCTTAACTGATGCATAGGTTGAACTGTAAAATTTTGTGTCGTAACTATTGAATTCTATTGTTTTCGCTGCATATTTACTTTGGGACTGCAGAACGGTATTTCGGGAGATCCCCATGTACTGCATATTTACTTTGGGACTACTGAACGGTATTCCGGGAGATCCTATTGTACTGCATATTTACTTTGGGACTACTGAACGGTATTCCGGGAGATCCTATTGTACTGCATATTTACTTTGGGACTACGGAACGGTATTCCGGAAGATCCTCATGTACTACATATTTACTTTGGGACTACGGAATGGTATTCCGGGAGATCTCCCTGTACTGCACATTTACGTTTGGGACTACGAGACGGTAGCTCGGGAGATCCCTGATTGTGTTCCTGTGTACTGAGCTGTTACCTTCTATGATTTCATTGTTGTTAAATTTCAACCTTTATTTTACTGCGGTATTACACTCTATCTTGTTTTATTATATATTTACCAGTAACGCCTTGACCTGACCTCGTCACTACTCGACCGAGGTTAGGCTTGGCACTTATTGGGTACCAATTGTGGTGTACTCATGCTACTCTTCTGCACATATTTTTCGTATACAGATCCAGGTGCTCCTTATCAGCGGCACTATCAGTGAGCCGTGACAGCTTTGGAGACTTTAAGGTATATCTGTTGCGTCCGCAGACCTCGGAGTCTCCTTCTACTCTTTCTCATGTCCATTATCTTCTGTATTTTTCCTTTGTTAGACTCTGATGTATAGAGACACTAGATTTTCCTTATGTAGTTTGTGATTCACGATGTTTCGGGTTTTGGGATCCGCTGTATATTTTTGGACAGTTAGTTGTTAAATTTATGTTTTCATTTCATTATTCCGCAAATGTTAGGCTTATCTAGTCGTAGAGACTAGATGCCGTTACGACGTCATACAAAGGGGAAATTGGGTCGTGAGAGAGTTGCATATGCTGACCATTCTAATATGTTTTAGGCTGCTAAATATATTTGAAATCTTGTGCCTACCGAATATTATAAGTTACCAGCGAGTGGCTACATATGCAGCATAGTATGCAAAGACTTTTCAATCTTAATTATTTTGATGTTTGAGTCATATACCTTTTCCAACTAGTCTTTTGTGACCAAATCCTAAATAACATTATGTGTAAAAGTCTGTGATCGTTTCCGTGACTTGGGAAAATTAAGCCCACATAAATAATATTTACGGTATACGATTATAATAATTGCGGATTACTAAAATACTGTAATCAACGGTAATAATAAGAAAAACAAAGATACCGAGATTTTTTATGTGGAAAACCTTTTGAATAAAGGGAAAATCATGGCCCGAGAGGAGCAACTGATTTCACTATAGCAAGGATTTACAATTTGTGGTACCGACTAAAATACTCCAAGACCACTAAACACTCAAAAGAAATAATCCTCTTTTGATTTTTCCATCTCACTATAATACCGCTCAAACTCTCTATATTTTTCCTCAAGTGATATTTTGCTTTTTACTCTGTAAATCAATCTCTTTCTCTTTATTTGGTGTGTCTTAGAAATGAAGATAGATGTACCTATTTATAATTGAAGAATACCGATATTGATGTACTCAATTACATCGCTATTTACTTCCCAAACCTTTTCTAAATTGATTCGCTTGAAAAAACCAAAAGTAAGCTTATCTTCTTTCACGTGGGCCATGGGATGAACCCAATATTGACTTACCATACTAACTGTTTATGAGAACATTAACTTCCAATATGGAAAAAAGAATGCCATATGCGTTATAATATGCAAGTCTCAATCTTCACTATCATAAAAAAGAAAAAACAATTTTTTTCCATTCGTATCTTACTTGCTGATTCTTGGTATTTTCATGTGTAAAAATGGTTTCTTGGAGAATCCTGTTACGGAGTGTCTTATTTCAGCTTACCTTTCTTTGTTCATTTTCTCAAGAAAGTAGAGATATTCTCCCTCTTGGTTCCAACATCTCAGCTGGAAGTAAATCTTCACACTGGCTTTCACCCTCTGGAGATTTTGCCTTTGGGTTCTACAGTCTTAAAACTGGACTCTTCCTTGTTGGCATTTGGTTTGATAAAATCCCCGAACATACTCTCATATGGTCAGCCAATCGCGATGATCCAGTTCATGCCGGATCAAAGGTTATTCTAACACTGAGTGGACACCTTGTGTTGACAGACTCTAACAGGAGAGAGTTTGTTTTGTACAATGGTACAGGCACAAGTTTTGCTGCTATGCAAGATGATGGAAATTTTGTCCTGAGAAATTCATCCTCAGGAGTCTTGTGGGAAAGCTTTGATTTCCCTACAAATACTATTTTGCCTGGACAAGTTCTTGTTATGGGGCAAAAGCTATTTTCTAATTCCAATGGAACAGTGGATTACTCGACGGGAAAATACAGACTAGAGATGCAGATGAATGGGAATGTGGTTTTGTCTGCTTATAGAACTCCTGATTTGGGGTACTGGAATGCTCAGACTATAAACCACAATAATGTATGGCTAGTTTTCAATAAGACTACTGCTACTATGTTTATTGTGAATGGAAGCTCAATCATAAGCAACATGATAGCAGACCAGCCTTCTTCAGTTCAAGATTATCGATGGTCACTGACAAGGGAGATTTCCAACAGCTTTACCGTAGCAAAGAAAATGGGAACGGTTGGGATGTTGCGTGGCAAGCTATCACGCAGCCTTGTGTTGTGAGCAACATTTGTGGTGTATATGGCTTTTGCCAATTAACTGATAATAAGGTAATCAATTGCAGTTGCTTGCCAGGCTATTCTCCCAAAGATCACTATGATCCATCTCGAGGGTGTTATCCGAATGAGGTGAAAGATTTCTGTGATCCGAATTCTTCACCTTCGGATGTCTCTATCCAGAGAATAGCTAATGTTGATTTTCCTAATAGGGAATTTTCAGAACTGGAAAGGGTGTTTGATATTGATGAGGAGATTTGCAGGCAGGAATTATTGAATGATTGTCTTTGTGAGGCAGCTGTCTTCAGTGGTAGTACATGTTACAAGAAGAGGATGCCTATAATGAACGCTAGAAGTGTTTTTCCTGAAACAAATAACATGGTTGCATTCCTTAAAATTAGCAACTCTTACAAAAGACACTCTGTCTCAAAGGGTGTTTTAGTAGCAGGTGTGACAGTATGTGCAGTACTTGCTCCACTTTTTGCAGCAATTGCTATATACTATCACCCTTTCGTGCGAAAATATAGACATGCCAAAAACCCTCCGAAAAGAAAGCCAATTGAGCTGAATTTAAGGGCATTTTCCTTCCACCAGCTGCACGAAGCCACAAATGGTTTCAAAAATAAATTAGGCCAAGGAGCTTCTGGTGTGGTTTATAGTGGAATTCTCAAGTTAGAGGATGAAGAAGTTGAAGTTGCTATAAAGCAATTGGAAAATGGCGGTGAAGAAGATAAAGAATTTTTGGCAGAAGTGAGAGTGATAGGCCTAACACATCACAAGAATCTGGTTCGTTTGTTAGGCTTTTGCAACGAAAAGAATCATCGGCTTCTTGTTTATGAATTGATGAAAAATGGGGCTGTGTCAAATTTCATCTTTCAAGATGGACAAAGACCAAGCTGGAAGCTAAGAAGTGATATTGCACTTGGGATTGCTAGAGGCCTTTTATACTTGCATGAAGAGTGTGAAAACCAGATCATTCACTGTGACATTAAGCCACAAAATGTTCTTCTTGACAAGAACTACACAGCCAAAATTGCGGATTTTGGTCTTGCAAAGCTTCTTATGAAAGACCAGACACGAACAATCACGAATTTTAGAGGAACCATGGGTTATATGGCACCAGAATGGCTAAAAAACGTGCCCGTGACTACTAAAGTTGACATCTACAGTTTTGGCGTATTGCTGCTAGAGATTATTTTTTGCCAAAGGCACATGGACTTGAATCCAGTCGACGAAGCAAACGAAGAGTCCGAGTTGATCTTAGTGGATTGGGTTCTTCATTGTGTGAGAACTGAGAAGCTGAAAGCTGTTGTTAGTCATGATGAAGAAATTGTGGATGATTTTCGTAATTTTGAGAGGAAGACTATGGTAGGACTGTGGTGCTTGTGTCCTGAGCCAAATCTTAGACCATCTGCAGCAATGCTTGTTCAGATGTTGGAAGGAACTATAGAAGTAGGTGTTCCTCCTATGATTGATTCAAACATGCACTGAAGTACTTGTTGTATTGTTTTAATTTTCTTGTATTAGTCAAATCTATTCTACAGATAAGATTTAAAACAGATTGAAGATCTTGTCCGTCCCTAACCCTTGTCCAGGTGAAAATATACATACACAGTTGAAAAAAAAAATATGAAGAAAAATAACAAATACTTTAGGCTAAGACGCATATATCTCGCTCTATTTAAGGAGATTAAGGCCGCTACATTAGAATCTTCACTGATCCAACATTAATACTCTTGGATACAACAGCCCGGCAAAGTCGTATTACTCCTACAAACTCTGGACTAGTTATGAGTCCAAATCTCCATAGAAAAAAGCACATATTCCTTCAACTAATAATAATTTTTTTCTAGTAGCGAATAAGTTGGAGGCTTAGACATTTTTCTTTCTCTCAACTTGCTTTTTGCACAACTACACCTACTTTTGATGCATATTACAACACTATTTATGTGCATCATCACAAGAAGAAGCACTCATTTTTATAGGTGAATAAATAAGAATTTATTGGCATAATAAATTTGTAAGAACATGGGATCATGAACTGATTAAAATGAGAAGTCATGCAATTTACAAATAAAGTTTTAGATATTAAAATGCAATATATCTCCAAAATCCCATAACTGAGATGGAGATGAACTCCAACTACAGTGTAACCCAACATTTATTGACCAAGTCAATAGGCCTGGTTAATTTCAGTTTTCCTTTTTCAAAGTCTACAGCTACATAAAAGTTGAATTTGCCCACTTAACCAATCAAGAAATGACCTTTTGCCAATTCTAATGGCAGTTTAAATGGCATTAACCATGAGAAATTTGACTAAAAAGCCTAATCAACTGCATCGATAGATCACATGAACTGGTAAGGTGCACGGTACCATCTACTGAACTTTTTCCACAGATTTGGTCAAGTTACATGCACAGATAGATCCATGTATCTTGACTTGAATATTCATTATGCATGACTGAAGTCATCTAAATTAAATTCTTAACACTTGTGTTGTTTTTAACCATATATTAATAAAATAGACCATATAAGTTATTTGTATGACCCGTAACCTCTACTCAACCAGCAGTTAACAAGTGTAGATCAAAAGAAGAATCCCAATTGAATGAAGCAAAAACAATTTTCAAAGATGATGGCTTTAAGCATAGTGCAATTACTGGTTAGAAATTGACATTTGAAGATTAAGCAAACAGTTTTGTATATGAAAGAGTAAACTCTTTTCTTTCCTCTTGTCTGAAACTAAGCCTCATTGAGTTTATACTTTATACAAAATGAGAATATCACTTAATCTTCTTCCCTTTTTCCTTTTAATCCTTCATCACTACTCCAATGGCCAAAATTTGCCAAATATTAGCACAGGCTCTACTTTTACTGCTGGAGACAATGTTTCTTTGTTATCATCATCCGAGGACTTTGCATTCGGATTTTATCGTGTTTCAGCTACTCTTTTCCTAGTTGGAATTTGGTTCAACAAAATCCAGGAAAGAACACTCATCTGGTCATCAAATCGCGACAGTCCAGCAGAAACTGGATCCACTATTAGTCTAACAAGTAGTGGCCAGCTTGTGCTCAATTATGCAAATAGCACTGTCCAACAGATTTACAGTGGGAATGCAAAGTGGGGAATCATGCAAGACGATGGAAATCTTGTCTTGAGAGACTCCAGTTTAGGAAATGTTTGGGAGAGCTTTAACTTTCCTACTGATACACTCTTGCCAGAGCAAACTTTATTATCAAAAGGAAAACTCTACTCCAATGCAAATTCAAGTGAGAATTCCAAGTACTATACAGGGAAATTCATGCTAGAAATGCAATATGATGGAAAATTGGTATTATCTGCCTATCGTTTCGGGGACCCAGGGTATTGGCTAAGCAGTCAAGATCAAAAAGGAAATGGTGATGTGAATCTAGTTTTCAACAAGAGCAATGCATTGTTGTATCTTGAGAAAGGCCATAATAACACAATTTATTCTTTTTCATCGAGTGTCCCGGCCCCAGTTGAAGACTACTATCACCGTGCAACTCTAGACAGTTTTGGAAACTTCCAGCAGTATGCTTATCATAAGACTAATGATAGCAATTGGATTAGAGTATGGAAGATCCCTTCAGAGCCATGTATGGTGAATGCTGTTTGTGGGGCTTATGGATTCTGCAGCTCAAATGACAATGAAACAGTAAATTGTGACTGTCTTCCGGGCTATATTCTCTTCGATCAAGGTAATCCCAGCAACGGATGTCATCCTAAAACAATGGTCAACTTCTGTGCAAATCTATCTGCAGGAAATTTCAGGGTGCAGGCTATTAAGGATAGTGACATACCTTACCCGGAGATTGGGGATTATGAACATTATTTTGACACGGACGAGGAGGGATGCATGAAGCTTGTCAAGGAAGATTGTTATGCCATGGCAGCTACTCTAGTCAATAGGACATGTTCCAAGAAGAGGACTCCTATACTCAACGCCCGTAAAACTTCTATGACAAAAGGTAGCATTTCCTTCATCAAGGTTCCCATGAAGTCAGCAAAAGTTGGCCAATCGAGAAAGAAGAAATCCAACACCAGAGCTCAACTCACCGCTGGCCTTATAAGCAGCAGCTCCCTTGCTGTCTTATTTGGAGCCTTGGCTCTTTACTATCATCCTTCTCCTCGGAGGCTCATACGACGTAAATGGCAGCCTGATTTATCAAGAATAGGGATCAATTTCCGTGAGTTCACATACAAAGAATTGCATGAAGCAACAAATGGCTTCAGCAAGCTACTTGGAAAAGGAGCTTCTGGGAATGTTTACTCTGGGATTCTGAACTTAAAGGACATTCAAGTAGAGATTGCAGTAAAACGATTGGAGGAAGTTGCAGAGCCAAGTGAGAAGGCATTCATGACAGAGCTAAAAATCATAGGTAGAACTCATCACAAGAATTTGGTAAAGCTATTGGGATTTGGTATTGATGATAATCACTTTCTTTTGGTTTACGAGCTGATGAAGAATGGAGCGTTATCAGATTTTTTGTTCAAGGAAGGAATGCTGCCTACTTGGAGTCACAGATCAGAAATGGCACTAGGAATTGCAAGAGGACTGCTATATTTACATGAAGAATGTGATACTCCAATCATCCACTGTGACATAAAGCCTCAAAACGTACTGCTAGACAACAAATACAATGCCAAGATTTCAGATTTTGGGCTATCAAAACTCTTGAAGATGGATCAAACAAGAACAGACACTTGCGCAAGAGGGACAGTGGGATACTTGGCACCAGAATGGCTAAAGAATGCACCAATAACACCCAAAGTAGACATTTTTAGCTTTGGTGTAATGTTACTGGAGATTACATGTGGCAGAAGGCATATTGAGCTGAACAGGATAGAGCAGGAGGACGAAGACGACGAAGGAGATGATTTACTGCTTATAAATTGGGCTGCAGGCTGCACGAGAAGTGGTAGAATAGACAAACTTGCAAGAGGTGATCCGGAAGTTTTGAATGATATTACAAGATTTGAAAGATTTATCATGGTGGGATTGTGGTGTATCCACCCTAATCCAATTATTAGACCTTCAATGAAGATGGTAACACAAATGCTTGAGGGAACAATTAAGGTTGCAGTTCCTTCACTGATAGATTCGTAAATGTGGAATGTTCTGCTGGAAGAGTGAAGTTGTTATTGTTTCTTTTTCTTTCTTTTGAATGGATGACTTCAATGACTTTTCCTGAACACTACATAATGTACTGGTATACTTGTAACTCTTCTAATATTTTTGTATACGGTCAAAACCGGGCTTGCCCTTCGTATGACTGATCGAAACTAGAACATGATAGAGCAAGGTTCAAACTCGTGTTATATCGAACCATGGTGCGAAGTTAGATTGCCAAGCTCGTGACTCAGAGATCGATCAAGATCGAGATCGACTATGATCGAGACCGGTCAAGATCGAAACCGAGCAAGATAGAGATCGAGTGAGACCAAGGGAAGCTTACTGAGCCAAATAACGGAAAGCCGAAATATCCGCAATCGGGTGAGGATCGCGGCAGAAATCCCGGCACGTATCAAGAAGAGGCCAATTAATTAGCCTATCGTGGGATTCCTTACTGTATTTAGAATTGTATCAAGTGTAGGACTCCCCTACTATATAAAGGGGGTCTGATCATTTGTAAGGGACATGACATTTTACGCAATACAAAGCGATATACTACCTTCTTATAGCTTTCAATATCTTGCTACTCTGTTTTTATATCAATTGAATCTTCACTTGGTTAGAGGGTGATCAAACCTGAGGGCCAAGTCTATTCGATTCGTTTGGTTTGCATTTATTTCTTTCACAGTCAATTTTAACATTAATATATATATATATATATATATTTTCTCAATTTGTGCCAAGTTATATCAAGTTATTGAAGGAGAAGGGATCAACCTACGAATGATCTTCGAAATGTTGCAAGCTCACAGGCACCAATAGCTTAGTACAGAACCAAAGCCGCGCACCAAGCAGGGTTGAGCCCGATCCTCCCCGGGAAGTCACCCGCAAGGATGAATCAGTCGTAGATAGGTCAAACGAACGTGAATCGGGGGTTAGATCCAAAGTTATAAAGATGCTTGAGGAGCTGACAAAACGGATAGAATCAAGGGAGAAGAAGATCGAGGCTAATGACAAAAAGGTGGAAACTTATAATTCCAGGGTAGACCAAATCCTAGGAGCACCTCCGATATTGAAGGGCCTGGATTCCAGGAAGTTCGTACAAAAACCCTTTCCTCCAAGTGCGGCCCCGAAGCCAATCCCCAAAACATTTCGCATGCCTGAGATTCCTAAGTACAACGGAACGACTAACCCAAACGAGCATGTCACCTCTTACACAGGTGTAATTAAAGGGAATGATCTAGAGGACGACGAAATCGAATCCGTGTTACTAAAGAAATTCTGGGAGACCCTATCAAAGGGAGAAATGATATGGTACCACAATTTACCACCTAACTCTATTGATTCTTTTGCTATGCTTGTAGATTCTTTCATAAAGGCACACGCTGGAGCCATCAAGGTCGAAACCAGGAAATCAGACTTTTTAAAGGTAAGATAGAAAGACAACGAAATGCTTAGAGAATTCGTGTCTAGATTCCAAATGGAACAGATGGACCTACCACCGATCACCGACGATTGGGCAGTTCAAGCTTTCACCCAAGGCAGTTCAAACTCAATGTTCGAAGCTCGGTGGCTTCGCAGCAGTTTAAGCAGAATTTGATAGAATACCCGGCTGTCACTTGGGCCGCTGTACATAACTGGTACCAATCAAAGATCAGGATCGAAGATGACTAACTCGGGGCTCCTTCCGGGTCCTTTTATCCTATCAGACCTGTCGACAAAATTAAGAGGGATATCGATTGAGAACCAAGGTCGAACAGATATCGATACTAGCTTTATAATGGAGATCATAGGGGAAACGGACCTGGGCGCAACCCTGTACGTGGTGAAAGGAGAAATGATCGAGGCCACAGCACTCGTGGGATCATGAGCAAGAGTGGTTTCCACAGGCATACCGCACCTAAAGAAGCACCACAATTGTCAGAAAATAACTTCAATATTGATGCATCCGCCATCGTATCGGTTATCGTACGCATCAAAGATACTAAATGGCCACGACCTCTACAAACCGATCCAATTTTGGCAGACTTTGTGGATGACTTCATGCCGTCCCTAGTACTCGAGGTTGAAAGAGAGTTGTTGGTAAACTCGGGTACATCTTCGAGAATCTGGACCCTCTTTACGGACGGTGCTTCCAATGCAAAAGGGTCCGGACTCGGTAGTCGAAGAAGGCCATGCCGAGATAAACTCCATAAGCTTGACCTGGGGTTGGAGAAATAAATACACAGCGTATTTGAAAATCGGAAAGCTTCCCTCAGATCCAAAAGAATCAAGGGCCCTGCGCACGAAGGCAACACGATTCAACTTATTCGGAGACAAAAACTTGTTCAGAAGAATGTTCGATGGTCCACTAGTAATATATGTCTGGGACCAAGAGACACCGAGTATATCCTGAGGGAAGTTCACGAGGGCACTTGCAGAAATCATTCCGGTACCGAATCATTGATTCAAAAGGTAATCAGAGCCGGCTATTATTGGATAGACATGGAAAAAGATGCGAAAGAGTTTGTTCAAAAATATGACAAATGCCAAAGACATGCACCGATGATCCACCAACCCGAGGAACTACTCCATTCGGTCTTGTCACCGTGGCCATTCATAAAGTGGGGAATGAATATTGTTGGCCCTCTTCCATGGGCGTCAAGTAAAGCTCATTTTATTTTATTTATGACTGACTATTTTTCTAAGTGGGTTAAAGCATAGCCCTTCAAGAAAGTCAGGGAGAAGGAAGCCATCGACTTCATTTGGGATCACATCATATGTCGATTCGGGATGCCATCCAAAATTGTGTGTGATAACGGGAAACAGTTTATCGGCAGCAAAGTAACCAACTTCGTCGAAGAACGTAAGATCAAAAGAATCCTATCAACACCTTATCATCCTAGCAGGAATACCAACAAAACCATCATCCAAAATCTTAAGAAGAGGCTAATCAACGCCAAAGGAAAGTGCAGGGAAATGCTGCCCGAAGTTCTTTGGGCGTATCACACAACCTCGAAGTCTAGTACCGGGGATACCCCATTCTCGTTAGTTTATGGCGCCGAAGCTCTAATACCGGTCGAAGTCAGAGATCTGAGTATCCGGTTCTGATATGCAACAAAGGAATCGAATGACGATGCCATGAATACGAACCTTGAACTATTGGATGAAAGGCGTCAAGATGCCCTCATCCAATTAGCCGCCCAAAAGCAACGTATCGAGAGATATTACAATCGAAGAGCCAATCTTCGATATTTCAGCGTTGGGGACTTAGTGCTAAGAAAAGTCACCCTCAACACCCGAAATCCAAATGAAGGGAAATTGGGTCCGAATTGGGAAGGACCATACCAAATTCTCGAGGTTACCGGAAAAGGGTCCTACAAGCTCGGAACAATGAATGGAGAACAACTACCGAGCAATTGGAATATATCTCACTTAAAACGGTATTACTTTTAAGGTACGAAACCTTTCCATTTCAGAATAACACTTGTAGGTGGTCAACAAGAAACGACGATGGATTTTTTGGCTAACGGCACGAAGTCTTTAGGTCTGAAAGCATGTGTTGCACTCTTTTTCCCTTAGACCGATTTTGTTCCAAATGGGGTTTTCAGCGATGTTTTTAACAAGGCAACAATGAATCGTGCTAACTTAGAATCAAGCCCGATTACGAATCGGCACCGAAGATCAGCTCAACAATATCCAAGGTTCCTTTGCAATCAACCTCGAATACTAGGGGGCTACCCTCGGATATGCATTGTCTTCAAATATCAACTATAGCGAGGAAACTACTTCATAAAGGGAGGGTCTCGATATAAATGATTTATTGTAAGGGCCAAACGGTCAAAACGAACCGTGCCCATATAGATTGCTCGTGCCCTAGCATAAAACATGTACACATGTATGATTGATTCAATCGAGAATAAAGAGAAGTACTTTCCTTGCAATCATCTTATGTTTTAAAAAATTCCTCTTTACATCTGTTTAAAGAAATTCGTATTTTTGAAAAATAACAAGCCCAAGAGCAATACATAACCAGAATATGAACGATCACCCCCTCACTCGGGGACCGCCGTCCAACTTAAATAGTCCAAGTCATCGGGCCTCGGGGGAAAAAGACCTATTAGGCAACTCCCCGGTTTCTAAAGGCCACGGCCACGACCACCCCACTCGGAGACTGTTATATCGAGCAAGCCAGGATAACTTGGGAAAATAAGCCCAATGGACAGTTCCCGAACTAAAAGGCTACGGTCAATTCAACTCGGCTTGGAGATGTCCGAGACCCGTAAGAAAAATAGGCCTTCGAAAAAGAGAAAATTTTTCACAACCAGTTCTAAAGGCTGCCCTCGGCAAATTCATAAACTAGAGATATTTTTGGGGGAAAATCTTCGGTAACATCGAACTCCAACAACGCCTTAACCCAAAAAGGCAATAAAAGTAAGATTTGTTCGAACCCTCGAACATAACCTCATTGTTTCACGCTAAGGCATTTCGACTTTTGTGAACACAAGTAATAAAGCAAAGGAAAATTTGAGATCCGAAAGGGGAAGAAAACCCTTATATATATAATAGTTTTTACAAAAGCCAGATCGCCCTAATACAAAAATTTACAAAAAACAGAACGGCCTAAAAAAATATGTAAAAGAAATAAAAAATATAAAGGCCTAAATGGCCTGGTCTTCATCGGGCGTAACATCTCCATCCTCGGGATCTTCCCCGTCTTCGGATTCGTTCAAGCTGTCGGAGTCTTCCTCATGAAAGGCCAGCTTCCGGGCCCTGGTTTCCTCTGCCTTGGCATTCTCGATTTCGGCCATAATATCGAAGCCTTGATTACGAATTCCCTCGAGGGTTTCCCTTCGAGCTTTCCATTTTGCATGATCCACCATGATCTTGGCCTTCGCCTGGATGGCCTTGACATCAACTTTAAATTGGGCCACTTTAACATCAACTTTGGTGTTGTCTACGACCACCTCAGATTTGACCACTTCGAGTTCATTAGCCAAGCTTGCCTTATCATAAATAGCCAAGTCCAACTGAGATTGAAGCTCCTTGATTTTCTCGACCAGCACAGGGGCCTTCTCTTTTGCAACTTGGAGCTAGGCCTCAACCGACTCCAGTTGTGCTAGCACGGTTTCCTTCTTC